ATATAGGCAGCATATCTTCGTTCAAGCATGTTTTCTTGAATAATCTGGACATATGTCTATTTATTTTATTTTAATTCTCACCAGTTCACGAATAAATGTTCTAGTGTCTGTACAAAATTGATCAAGAAAAAAGCCGTAATTATCCATATTATTTTTATTTTCTCAGGTACCTTCAATCTCATCCAAGATCATCTTCAAGGGTTGAATTTTTAAGACAAAAATTAATGTATGAATATATAAGCATGAACGCTGTAAAATTCGAAATTTTTTTAACCCCTACGTAAAGGAGGTGGCTCAACTATGTACTTCTTATCAGAAATATAGTTACGTGTTTTTTAAAATATTTTTAATTGTAATTTTTAACAATTAAAATTTAGATATTTATTCAAAAACTTTTCTGTTATAAACATTTTAGAACTTTGTTGCTATACTCATAATTCACTTTATTTTTGGCTGTAATTTTCTTATATAAAGGGCTTCCAGAATTTATGTTTATTATTTTCATGGTGGAGTATAGATGTATTTTCGATTAATATCTGTCAAAATTCTGAATGTGAACAGGAATGCTCCTTTAAATGTTGTGAGATTGAGCGATAATCAATCAAGTGAAATGTAAGTCTCCTTGACATAATTGCGGTAGTAAAACTAATATATATATATATATATATATATATATATATATATATATATATATACATTTTTGTCAGAGATACAACCTCCCAAAGGACATTTAAAGTTATTTGATATAAGATGTTGATCTTTTACAAAACACCGAGAAGAGTTATTGTAGATAATTAATTGGTTTTATTAAATTTAGTGTAGTATATAAATAGATTTATATATGAGGTTTTTTTTAAGAATTTTTTCATATTGTTTATAGTTAGAATGTATTTGATTGCAGTATATTAGGATGATATGTTTATGCTAATCGACAATAAAACTATACTCCAGCATGAAAATAATAAACATATACTTCAAGTTCTGTAAGCCCTTTATATTAAAAAATAAATGAAATTAGAAAATATGAAAACATTTAAATAAAACATCTGTCTATATTTAAGGTATTGAAACTATTTAAACTATTTACATCATTCGGACTGTTGTCCTCATTTTATTGCCATATTTACGACGTTTCGACTGTTGTACGCTCTGGCGTTCATCAGGTGATATACATTGGAATTTCAAACCCTTTATTTAATCCGCGAGGGTAGACTGTTCTAATTCCACGTGCCATGTCTTTTTTTGATATCCCAGTTTCTTTTACTTCCCTTTAGTAACTCAACTCCCCAATATTTTGTTTCCTCTGCTGTAGTCAATTATTGAACATCCAACTCCCAAAGGACATATGGTCCAGTGGATAAAACCGTTGGTTGAGCGACTTGACCCAAAGAGGAGCAGGAGCTCCAGGCCAGATGTAACAGCAATATTCTAAGCATGGACAAATGGTAGACTTATAAATATGTAAGATAGATTCTGGAGAGAAAAACTGTCTAGCACAACATAGTCAACAACTTCCTTAACTGCAGACTTAACAATTGATTCAATCTACTCTTAGTCGGAGAAGGTGCAATGAGACAAGTTGGGTTATAATAAGTATAATGTTCATAGCTTCATAAAGCTGCACATGTTCTATGGGAGAGCTAGGGTTAATTTTTTACACCCGAGGCAAACCCCAAAAGAGGAAATACTAAAGGGGTATGTAAATTTTATGCGCGTTAGTGTCCTCTTTTAAATATTGTCTTGTGTCATATTTTGTTTAAGTGGAAGTATAGATAAATAAATAAACTAGGTCTTTGATATCTAGACAGACAGATTATCGTCTCCAATCATGAAATGAAGATATGATAGACACAAATAAAGTCTGTCAGATCGTCGTCGTAATTGTCGCATCAGGCCAATCGGCGAAGACAGAAGAAAGCGGGAATTAAACAAATGGTAGGATCTCACATGAGAAATGAGATTACCGTCCAACAAGCTGGTTAGTGTCGTGTCCATATGCGTTCACACATTTCATGCCCATTTCTTGTTCATATTCATCGGTACATTTCGTGTCCATATTTATTGGTACATTTCGTGTCAATATTCATCGGCAAATTTTGTGTCTAGATGTTGAGACTATTGAGTTAGTGGCTCGGAATATTTTAAAATTATATTCAGACTTTAAAAATGAGGTGTTTTTCAAATGGAAATGACGTTTCATTGATAAAACATTTCTTATGAAATTTCTAGGAAAGAAAATGTCATCTCGTAATTAAACATCCGTCTACACTAACAAAATTGCTTAAAGCAAAATAATTTCCTTAGAAATATAACCATCTCGCCAAATTCAGAAAAAAAAGGAAGCACACAAGAACATATTGTTGAGATTCTAATCTGCTTCAGTAAAAGTAGTAATGTATTTTAAACAAATTTTTCATAATTTTTCAAGATACCAAGATTGTTGTGTTATTTTATACTAAAATACATACATTTCGTGTCCAGATGAGTCGGCACATTTCCT